CAATCTTTTCCAATTTTATAATTCCATCTGGAATGTTTAATCTAATCTAAGTGATACAAGGAGCGACATTTTGTTGTTAACTCATTACCATAATAAAAGCATTGCATTTCCAGCTCTGGCACTCAATGTGTATTGCCATCATGACCGAGCCGTGCTTATGCTTGTGGTCAGACGATCTGTCCTGGGTTTTTTTCCTTTTATTACTAGAGGCCCGGTGCATGAAAATCATGCATGGGTAGGGTCCCTAGGCCTGGCCGATGACGGCCTTTCGGTTGCCAGCCAGGACCTCCCTTCATTTCACGCCGCCCCTTGGTGGTCAGTGAATGTCATAGCAAGCAATCGGTCTCCCAGTTGAACTCCCTTGGGACAATTTGCATATTAGGCTTTTACATATATTGTCTCTTACAATTACAAATCACCTATTACACACAATATGACTCTATACAACAAAGTTTTAAGAAAGTGTGATATTTTTTAAAAATAGAACACACACACACACACACACACACACACAAAACAGGAAAAAAATAGAACACTCTTACAATTACAAATCACCTATTACACACAATGACTCTATACAACAAAGTTTTAAGAAAGTATGATATTTGTTAAAAATAGAACACACACACACACACACAAAAAAAAAAAAAAACCAGAAAAAAAATAGGACACAAATATCCTAATATTCTTTAAGCCAAAAAATTTAGTATGTCATAGGTATAAAGGATCAAAAGGGAACATGAAAATATCCACAGTGATTCTCTCCAGGTGGTGAGGTGTGTACATTTTATTTTGTTCTTTATACTTTTTCTCATTTCTCAAAATTTTCTAATACAAATAAATACCTGCCTTTTTGTATTCAGGGGAAAAAAAGTCATTTTCAGAAAGGAGCAAGCATTTACAGCTGAAAGTCAGTAGGTGCTGAGGTTTGTTGGGTAACTAATTCAGAGATAAGAGAAAAATCTGATGCGTTTATTCTTTGCTTCATTTTGCTGAGATTTATACTTTTTCTCATTTCTCAAAATTTTCTAATACAAATAAATACCTGCCTTTTTGTATTCAGGGGAAAAAAAGTCATTTTCAGAAAGGAGCAAGCATTTACAGCTGAAAGTCAGTAGGTGCTGAGGTTTGTTGGGTAACTAATTCAGAGATAAGAGAAAAATCTGATGCGTTTATTCTTTGCTTCATTTTGCTGAGACTGCCCTTAGAATTCACTTAGAGCAGTGGTTCTCAACCTTCCTAATGCCGCCACCCTTTCATACAGTTCCTCATGTTGTGGCGACCCCCAATTTCATTGTTACAAATTGAACATCATGAAAGCATAGTGATTCATCAGAAAAACAATATGTAATTATCTATGTGTTTTCCGATGGTCTTAGGCGACCCCTGTGAAAGGGTCATTCGACCCCCAAAGGGGTCGCGACCCACAGGTTGAGAACCGCTTAAAGCAAACCCGTGGAGGACGGTCTTTGTTGATCTCCAGCAGGGGTTTCCCACCCCTTCCTTGGAGGGCCGGAAGGAAACCCACCTTCTCCTTTGAGAATCTGAAGTCATGGACTCACTGACTCGAACCCCCCTTCAGTGAAAGAGTCTAGTTTGTAATGAGCTACCGCGTATCAAAGACCCGAATGCTTAATGCAAGTCAGGTTATCAGGTTAGCAATCCCGTGATGGATGCAACTCCTGGAAGGGGGGAACTGGGTGCCAAAAAGCGATTTTAAAGAACCTGGATGCCCTAACCGGTTTGGCTCGGTGGGTAGAGCGTCGGCCTACAGACTGGAAGGTCCCAGGTTTGATTCCGGTCAAGGGCATGGACCTGGGTTGCGGGCACATCCCCAGTAAAAGGTGTGCAGGAGGCAGCTGATGGATGTTCCTCTCTCATTGATGTTTCTAGCTCTCTATCCCTCTCCCTTCCGCTCTGTGAAAAATCAATAAAATATTTAAAAAAAAAAAGAACCTGGAAAAGAAATCATAACATGGGCTGAGGACTTACCTTTTCCCTCAGTTGGAAATAGAGAAGCCACGCCAGGCATTTTGCAGCCACGTGAGACAACAACTTATCCGAGTCCTGGAACATGCAGATCTGTGGGAAAATCAATAAATTTACCTACTACTGTCGAATGCCTTTAAAACTTTTTTTTAAATCTAGATCTCTAAAAATACACAACAAATGGCTTACCAATTGGGAATCAAGGTCCGATGATTTTAAAAGAGCTGTAATGATCTCTCTGTACTTCTCCTTTGCTTGGAACTCGGTCTCCACAGACAGTATCCTGGTCACCATCACCTGGATCACCGTCAACCGAAGCAGCGTTAAGTCTCGGGCACTGCTCTTCCCCGGCGCAGGCGCGACAGGAACGGGGGACGGATGGACAGGGGACGGCTGCCTCCTGCCCTGGTCACCGAGGGTGACTGCGCGCCGGGAGGAGGCGGTCCCAGAGCTACTGTGATCTGAGCACGCTGGGCGGAGACAGCAGAGGTAATCCCGCGTGTCCTTCTCCAGGGTGGCTCCCACAAGGACCTTCTTATACAACTGGTCCAAAACCTCCAAGAAATCCTTCATTTCGACTGCCGACATCTGTCTTCCAGACAGGAAGTGGGGCGATTCCAAGTGGTAAATAGGAACCCTGGAAATGCGACGGATCTCTAAGGCGTTTCTTCCACAGAACCTACAATAGGAAAAATAAAACACTTTATAAAAGTATATTCTAGTGCTACAGCCCGGCCGGTGTGGGTCAGCGGTTGAGCGTGGACCTATGAACCAGGAGGTCACGGTTCGATTCCCCGTCAGGGCACATGCCCGGGCAGCAGGCTTGACCCCAAGTAGGAGGCGTGCAGGAGGCAGCCAATGCATGATTCTCTTTCATCATTGTTTCTCTCTCTCTCCCCCTTCCTCTCTGAAATCAACAAAAATATTACTTAAAAAAATAAATAAATAAAATGGGTCTGGTTAGACTCTACAGAAAGTTGAGGGAGGTGGGGGAGGCCTGGGTGTCAGGGCCAAGGTTAGGGGAGGCTCGCGAGGGCGGTTAGGCACTGAGAAGGCCCAGACACCCAAAGTACAGAAGTTCCCAACATCCCTGCTGATCACCAGGGCCGATCACCAGATCACCAGGGCCGTCAAAGCTGGTCAGCTATGGTTTCAAGAGCACCTCCCACCCTATTCTGAAAGGGAGGGCAGGGAGGGATCGCATCCCAACAGCATGCGTGGTGCTGGGTACCTTCCCCGTGCCCTGCTGGTTATACTCATCACCTTTCTCCCAGCCCCAACAGGCTCCAACAGGAGATGTGGGGGGAGGGAGGGAGAGGGAGAAAGGAAGGCAATCCTTTCAAGTTTCCGGATCTGCTCCTTCTACTTACCTTGGGGGGCCTAGAGCAGGTGCAGGTGCCAGCTGCTCCTAGCCCCAGGGGCTCATTTTCTTAAAACAATGGAGCTCAAGTTTCCTGGGCCTCAGAATCCCTAGGAAAGGGGGGCCGGCGAAGGGGCGGCCTTCCCCCAGGGGTTTCAGACACAGTAGTTCCGGGATGGGGCCCAATCATTTTTATTTCTAACCAGTTTCCGGGTTCCCACTGAAGCACTGAGAATATTTAATACCTGCCGCGCTTTGGTCAATTGCCCACTTATTATAAGCTCTCCTCTGTAGAACTCTGCTACAGGTCTTTTTTTTTTTTTTTAGCCTGATAATTAAGTCATAGATAAAAGACTTCAAATGATGTGGTTAAGGCAGATTGGATTCAGTGAG